CTTTTCTCTCCACCTTTACCACCGGACTTTCGCTGCGTGCGCTTCTCCATGATTGCTTTTGTGTCTTCTTCCATGCGGATAAAGTTATGTGAACGAGCAATGGCGTCCTGAAGCGTCATTGAGGTGCTCCGGTACAGGTCTTCTCGGAACTTGGAATCGAGATGGAGGGTGTTCATCAAAGCGTCGATGGCGATATGGTATGGAATGTCGAGCTTTGAGACGATTGACTTGAAACGTTCCATGAAGTCTCGGAGACTTTGGTCTTTGGTTTGCTTTAGGTTCCACAAACTGGAGACTGTTGCTTCACGCTTAGTAAACATGATGTAGGTTTTGAGGAAGGCCGACGAGAGTTCTCTGAAGCTGCTGATGGAGTTCTCCTTGAGCCTTGAGAACCAGGTCAGAGCTTGGTCGTGAAGGGTTTCTACGAACAGCTGACAGTAGGCGGCGTCTCTTTCGTCGTCGGGTAGCCGCGCTCGGGCCATCGCGATGTTGAAAGCAGTCATATGCTCCACAGGGTCACCGCCGGGTTTGTACTGCGGGATGCGCAGCTTCTCAATCTTGCGGAAGTTTACGCTAGTCAACGTGCTGGTGAATGGAGTACGCTCGGTTGAAGCGAGAACACTCTCGATCTGTGGAGCGGCGCTAGTAACCTTGTGAATCGTGGAGCTCATCTGTTGGAGGTTCAGTTTGAGCTCGGCGATTTCACGGACAGTCGTGAGATCTGGGCCGACTTGAGCTGCTTCTGCAGCGTGTGGCTCGGTGGGTTCCGACTCTTCGGAGGTATGGTCGGCTACCGGCGCTGTCGGGTTGGTGTTGAAGAGATGACGTCGGAACGGTTGAGAGTTACTCGTCTGCCCGGCGGGAGCCGCTGTTAACGCTGCTACGAGTGCGGCGAGTTGAGCTTGAGTCTCCTTTTGGATTTCGTCTTGTCTGGCGAAACGCGCCATGACGGAGCTCATGAAGTCGGGCGGAAGGGGTGTTTCGGGTACGGGAGTCTGAGTCGGCTCCTCCCCGGCGGTTCCGGAGACGGTTCCGTCGTCAGGCATGTCTAGATCTGATAACATTGCTTTGTTCAGAGCCCCACGGTGGGCGCCAAATTGTTTGAGGTGAAAATGGTTTGAAACAATATAAAGAGAGAGATGAGGGCGAACAAAGATGTTTTTATTAGATCTGAACAAGGAGTTACAAAGAGAAGAGTAAAGAGGCGGACTAGCCGGAAGTACAAGATGGTGAGTAAACGGGAAGGTGACTAAACAGGAAGGTGAGTAAACGAGTAGGTGACTAAACAGGAAGGTGAGTAAACGAGAGGGTGAGTAAACCCTAGATCTAACCACCTAGTCGCTAAGAAACCCTAGANTCGCCCTAGTTCACTTGAGCCTTGTTGGGCTTGATTCTCGTCGGGCCCGTTTAGTAGCCCGGGTAAATCCTGCTTCCACCGAGTCTTCTAGAACGCTCTTTGTCGCGCTACTAGACACGTCCTCGTGCTGAGGCGTTTCCTACGCGTTTAGTGGGCCGAGTAGATTGTCACATCGGGCTAAGCTTCTCCATTTGATGGGTCTTGTGGAGGGGTGTAACCCATCTCCTACAATATGCATACTCTCTTACTGTCTTCTTTAACAAGAAAAGTATATGGCTTAAAGCTGCTCAGCTTGAAAAGAGCCATGGGAGTAAAGAGTCTCTTGATGCCTTGTTGCGCAAGGCTGTGACATGTGTACCTCACGCTGAGGTTTTGTGGCTCATGGGTGCTAAAGAGAAGTTGGTTGCTTGAGACGTTACAGCAGCACGTAATATTCTACAAGAGGCTTATGGTGTGATTCCCAACTCTGAGGAAATCAGGCTTGCTGCTTTCAAGCTGGAGTATGAGAACAAGGAGATGGAGAGAGCGAGAATGCTTCTTGCAAAAGCAACGGAAAGTTATGGATGAAGTCAGCCATTGTTGAGAGAGAACTTGGCAACGTAGAGGAGGAGAGGAGATTGCTTGACGAAGTCTTGAAGCAGTTTCCAACATTCTTCAAGCTTTGGTTGATGCTTGGACAGCTCGAGGAACAGTTTAATAATCTGGAGCAGGCCAGGAAAGCTTATGACTATGGTCTGAAACACTGTCTTGGCTGCATACCATTGTGGATGTCATACGCCAATCTTGAAGAGAGAGTAAATGTGCTACACAAAGCTCGAGATATTCTCAACACGGCGAGGAAGAAGAATCCTCATGTGGCTGAGCTGTGGTTGGCTGCTATTCGTGTTGAACTTAGGCATGACAACAAGAGAGAAGCAGAGAATTCGATGTCCAAGGCTCTTCAAGAATGTCCCAACAGTGGCATCCTCTTGGCTGCGGACATTGAGATGGCGACACGTCCTCACCGGAAAACAAAGAGTATAAATGGTATGAAGAAGTGTTGTCGTGACCCGCATGTCACTGCAGCTATCGCCAAGCTCTTCTGGCAAGAAAAGAAGGTGGAAAAAGCTAGAGCGTGGTTAAAACGGGCTGTGGCCCTGAACCAAGACATTGGCGATCACTGGGCGTTGTATTACAAATTTGAACTTCAACATGGCACTGAAGAGAGCCAGAAGGAGGTCCTTGCCAAATGTGTAGGTTATGAGCCGAAGCATGGTGAGAAGTGGCAAGCTGTCTCCAAAGCGTTGGAGAATGCACACCGGCCTACCGAGGCCATATTGAATAAAGTCGTGATTGCATTGAGCAAGGAAGAGAAAGCTAAATGAGAGTAACAACTAAAAAGTTCCTTTTCGTTTTTTTTATGCATGATCATACTCTGCTCATAGCATTACATATTTTCTCTTGTTTTCTCTTTGCAGGCTCAACTTATAGAAGTTCATGTTTTTCTTCCGTAGCGAGAACCTATCAGTCTTCTTTGTGAGTTTCTGTGTTCTTATATTCAGCTATTAAACTATTATTGTTCGTGTATTGCTGATTATTTGCCTTAACCTTCCTTCTGTAGGAGCTTTTTTGTCTTCCTGGTGTCTAATACTGGCGTGTATGTACATGTCATAGAATCTACTCCAAGGTTTCTTTAGACTGTAAGCAACTAATAACCCCTGACAGAGTTTCTGGAGTTGTTTGTTAACGCTATTGATAACACTGATTGTGATATAGTATATCCCAGGTAAATTCATTCAACCTCTTGCATATTTAAATCAACCAACTAATTTCTTGCTAACCTCTCACAGTTTTATTTGGTTTTTGAACATACTTGGTTTTTTGGAGAGATGGTTCTCAGAAAAAAATGAATACGAGCTCTTATAAGCCTGACTTTAAGAGTCGCTCATAACCATGACTGGTCTTGAGCGTTTGGAGGCAATAGATAATTTAATAAAAACCATTGATAAAATAATTTCAAACAATTTTGAGACCTATTTATACGTAAATTATTTGTTTAAATTTGGGACAATAGGTCATTGTTTCACTTGCCGGTAAGTTAACTAAAGTATGAGTTAGTCTTCAGTAAGTAGTTTGTTAGTTCCGATGTTTTGCTAGAGACTTGTTTTATGGATGCATCTGTTGTCATCTTTTCCGGAGATCCTCTTTGGATGATAGTACTCGTGGAAAGGCAGGAGGAGGATCCCAATCAGAGGTTTTAAGTTCTTTATAACGTCCAGTTGTGTCGATGCAACCCCTTGTTATTAAACGTATATATTCATAATTTGCTTTAGGACATTATGTCTGCCAGAATCAGGATCAAATCCATCAGAAGACTGAAGACAGCTGACTTTTTGGCTGTTGAAGACTTACAGATCTATAGAGCCACAAGGACCGGACTCTACTAATAATTAGGGGAAAGTCAAAGAAAATCCGCTTGGCAACTTGGTACGAAACTGGACCAAACTAGGCTGTCTTGAGCAGCCCATCACAGGTCTCAACGTATCTAAACCAAACCTTTGTTTCTTGGAAAATGAACTTCACTGAAACATGTTGCAGATTGCTATACCCATTGCCGGATTTAAGATTTAAGAGGTCATTGATATTTAGTAAGAATTTTTATAAAAAATCTTTTTCAAACAATTTAGGAACTTATAGTTATGTATATTACTTCTTATTATTTTTGGAATCAAGCTTAATATTTCATTAAGCTGTTCCCAGAATCGGTCATGGATGCTTCTTTTTAAGTTTACTAAAATGTCAAATTGTGACACAAATTCCTATTTTATTCTTAAAAATAACAGAATGTGTTTAACCTATGTCGATGATGATAAAGTTTAAATTGATTATCAATACAACCACTGATCCAGTTAATCTAAACTATTAAAACTAAAGTACAAATAAGAAATACTCCTTAGTATTTTTCGAAAATTATACTTTCATGCCATTAACCTTAATCCATACTAGATTTTGACCTACGTTTTTCAAGCGCACAATTTTTTTATGATATAAAATTTATAAAATTGGATTTTGTCTTAATTTAAAGAATGTTTTGGTTGTTCAAAAAAAAGAATGTTTTGGTATAAAATCAGCTCACTAAAATTTGTGGTGATGATTGTTTTTCATTAGTTTTTAGCTTTAGTTTTTATTTTTAGAATTTGGTTTTTAGTTTTTAAGTTTCTATTTTTGATTTTCAGCTTTTAGTTTGATTTTTTAATTTTTAGATCCACTGAGTTAGTTTGAACTGATATTACCAACAAACAAATCCCAAATAATCGAACATTTAATTTAAAACTGAAAAGATGACAAAAAAAAATTAAAAAAAAATTGCAATAGTTTATTTTGCAAATAAACAAAAAAAAAAAATATAACATGCGTTTTGAGCTTGTGGTTTTGAATTTTAGTTTTTAGATTTGGTTTTCTTGTTTTGCTTTACATTTTTTATATCTGTAAATTATTTAAGAAAAATAAAACAATAAATTATTAAAAGTTACCATTGAAATTTATCAAAAAAATGATTTTTATTTAAAATAAAAAATACATTAACATGTTTTAAAGTACATAATTTAAATAAATGATTAATAATAGACAATTTAATTTTGTTAAAAATATTAAATACCTTTTGGGTTTGAAAATAATAATTAATTTTTTGATCCATACTAAGCCCGAAACTGAACCATAGAATTTGTTCTAAAAACAAAAGTAAGTCCATCATTATATCCCATAAATAACCACCGGTTTAATTTAAATAATGCGGTTCAATTAACTATATGGTTTGTATTATTTGTAACACTCTAGAATGAGTCCATATTTAAATGACAACTTGTATTAGTAGATAAAAAGAAGGATTTTATTTTAATAGAATAGATATATGGGCTTAGTCAATTAAAATAAATAAAGCCTAATCCATACATATTATGATGAAAATAAAATTTGAACATAGTAACTAAATTGTGTCCCATTTTAATTATAAAATAGAGATTGACTCGCACGCCCGTACGGGTGTTAATTTTTACTTTTTTATAAATTAATATTTTTTCTTACATAATTAGTATTAGATATCTTATATGTATCATAATATAATTAATTATATAAATATTGGAATTTTTTTTAGGTTTCTATTCATCAGAATCGAATCCGGATCAAGTACAGTAATATGGTTAGTTTTGGTTATTGATTATTTTAGGTTAAATTTAGTTTGAATTCAAAATACCCTAACTGAATCGGTTAATATTGTTACTTTTTGGTACAAATATCCAAATCAGCCTCAGATTCTTTAGTTTTGGATATTTGTAGGTTTCCAATTATTAAAACTGAATTCTTCTTGACTTGTGAAAACCCGATTTGAAATATGTTTATAAATTGATTTTTTTTATTTCATGATTAGTATTAGATATTTTATATGTATCATAATATAATTAATTGTATGAATATTTGAATATTTTTAGGTTTCTATACATTAGAAACCCGAATCAAAAATGGTAATATGGTTAGTTTTAGTTATTTGTTATTTTTAGGTTAAGTTTACTTTGAATTCAAAATATCCAAACTAAATCGGTTAATAGTGTTACGCTTGGTACAAATATCCGGACATACCTCAGATACATTAGTTTTTGGATATTTATAGGTTTATATATATCAAAATTGAATTCTTCTCGACTTGTGAAAACCGATTTGAAATATCCACATGAAAAATTATAATACCGAATGAATTCTAGTTTCAAAACTCAAAAAACCTGATATCCAAAATAAATAACTCGTTGATGAACAGGTATTCGAATGTCTATTACTAACTGATTATGTAAACAAATAAAAAAATTGTTAATCATTTTAATTCTTGTCACATATAGAGTCATTTCATTCAAATATGTCAAACTACTATAGTTAATATGTAAAATAAATGTTGTCGAAATATTATAGTAAATGTAATTAATGAAATAGTTAAAAAGTGAAAATGAATGTAAAATATAAAATAAAAAATTGAAAACAAATACATTTTGTTTTGTAATTATGTAATAAATGAGATCAATTTATTTAGTAAAGATAATAAATGAAACTGTTAGAATTAATTAAAATAGAAAGAAAATCTGTAAAAAAAATCACTTAAATAAGGCAAGTATTATTGTTTTACTGTTATCCATGTTTCCAAACACATATTCATTTAGTCTACTATTCTAGTTTCCAAACAACTTCATTGTGTACTTCAACTTTAATAATATAGATAGATTCATAACCAAATAATCTAAACTATTAAATTCAATTAAAACTCTTCTCATTTTTAATATTTTTTTGAATTTGATTTCATTATTATTTTTGTTTCTCTAAATTATATATTTGTTTTTAAAATTCTCAAAAAAACATTTTGAACTTTATATAGAAAAGCTCTCACATTTTAGTGTTCATTTTGCCAAATAAGCTAAATAAAAGTACAATAAAAGAAAAACACAATCTTATAGTTTATAAGTGAAAGCTAATCACATTGAACAAAACACATCAATCTTAATTCTAAATAACATATGAATCTATAATAAAAAAAACTAAACAATTAAATATATCGTATTTTCAAAAATTAAAATATATGATTATGAAGAACAAGCATCCGCGCGGGCGTGCGGGTCAAAAGCTAGTATATACTTAAAAGAATCGGAACATACCAAATGTATTGAATCAGATTTTAGATACATAGATAATGTTTTTATAAGATTTTATAGCTTAATAGATCGGTTCTAGATAAGAGTTTCAGGCATGAGTGAGAATTAACAAGGGGTTGATTGATTTCCAGGCATAAACCCCAAAATACAGAACAAAAATATTAGACAGTTTGATCCGGTCTGCTTTGAATATTTATATGAACAGATCTGGTCTAAACACTGCTACTATGGTATTTTTATACAATAAAAAACGCCTGATATTATAATCTTGGTTCAGTTCAGATTTACTTTTTGTGTTACAAATTTTAAACCAAAAGAGCATGTGTAAAATCCAGTTGAAAATCAGATTGATTTTTCTTTTGTCAATAAGATATAAACCCTAAAATGATTCAGCTAACTAAACCTAAACTGGAAATATTAAATCTACATGAATGATAATTAATAACTGTATTTGAGCATTTCATGCCAAGTGGTCTGTTTTATATTTTTTCATCGTGATAGAGGAGATAATGCTGAAAATTTGAACTTTTTTATCTATAATCCTAAGTTCTTTAATTTTGATCTTAAACATATGCCGACTTCGTGTCCAGAATTAAAATGGACCCCAAAATGCTAGTACCAAAAGCAGAACCAACAAAATAAAGTTGAAAACAATCCATTATGAGGTTTGTGATCATTATATGATGATGGGACGAGAACATGTTCGGTAACATTTTCCAAAAAGATATGAAGAAATAATACAAACAGATAACACTATTGTTTGTCTATGTACAATAACACGAATGTGGAGCATAAACAGAAAAATATTAACTAGTGGATAGACACGAAACCGCATATTTGACTTTGGTAGTATCAAACGTTCGTGGCTTGTTGGTTGTTGAACTCTTTTATTATATAGATTTAATGTCTTAGGGGTTAGACTTTTGTGCTCCTTTCAGTTGATGTGGTATGGTTAGTGGTTTATAGCTGATGTTATCAGATCAGAGTAAGACGTAATATAAACCATCTTCTTAAATAAATTATATATCCTCCTGAGTGCTGCCTAAAACTTAATTTAATCAATAGCCAAACAAGATAAGGTATTTAATTGGTCCAACAATTCAATTCAGTTATGATGAAAAAGGTAAAATGAAACCTTGTAACATTCATATTGGTTCTGTTTAATATATTATCAACAATTAGTTTAACTATAAAGAATAACTCTACAACTTAATTATTATGAGTGTCATATATATTGGTTTTAACTTCGGTTTTAGTTAAGTTTGATTGGTTTTTATTATCTATTCCGGTTTTTTTTGGAGTCTTTTTGTGTTATATGGTGTTTATCCAGGTCCAATGGGGTAAAGTTCAAAATTAGAAATTTTGTGGCAAAACCCGAGGACTTTTCTGCACCATTTGAGAAGTGAGGGGTCCAAGGCAAAGTTTCAAAGAAGATAAGGACTAAATCTGTAAATTCGCTATAATCTGGTTTTGAGAAATGAAAAAAGACGAAGTGGTCGATGCCTCTTTCTCCGTCGTGCTCGATCCGATGCCCTCGACCCATCCATCGATCCTCCTATCTGATGGGTTGGCATTTGGTCTGTGTATCACCTACAGCTTTAAAGTGTGCACTTCAGAAATTTGTTTTCAGCATTTTATTGCTGTAGAATAATATGCAAAGTTACCTAGAAAGTGACCATTTTAGTAAAGTTTCATCTCGCACACTGATGATATAAGGGAACTGTTTTGTTTGGGCCTTAGTGTTTTGAAACTCATTGATGCTAAGGTTTTTTGAATACAAGAAATCTCTAATCAGAAATCTCTAATCTAGTTTCTTGGCATCTTATATTAGTTTTCCAGATCTAAGATTTGAGGAGAAGATTTGTGAAACTCTTTTTATTACTCTAAACTAATCACATTATGTTTTCTTTTGATTCATCTTGTAATTATTCTATGAGTATGTGAGTAGTTTCTTAGTTGGGTTTGGGTTTTTTCACAAGGGGATTCCATGATTTGTTGACTTAGGATTATTAGATCTAGGATTTCATCTTGTGGTAAGCTCCGGTTTAGCTTACGATGTGTTTGGGAGCCCTCGTCCAAACGAGTATTTTACAGAGAGTCGACAAGGCTTCAAAATCTTCTTTATAATATTCAAAAACCTTTCGCCTTTATTGATATAAAACAAGCTTACTTACCGGCAACAAGCACTTTTTTTCTCAAAGTCAAGTTTCTCATTTATCCACTAGGTCAATCTGGTTGGTTCTCTTGATTGATGCTACGAATGAAAGCTTTTGGGATATAGCACACAGAGATATAAGAGGAGAAGGAGGAGTAGGAGGAGTCAGACGGAATCAAATGATTACGAGATAGACAATGAGACCAGGGAGAGCAAGAGCACTTAGATAATTCACTTTGAGTACAGGGCTTCATAAATTGGTTTTTTAATGTTGAAATTAGAGTCATGAATTAGTTTCTGATTTTAGGTTGTTTAACGCATCGAAAGTGTTTCTTTAAATGCTTGAAAAAATTTTAGATGAGCAAAGTATCCTTAATCAATGGAAACTGGTGTTAATTATTGCGCTTTGTGGACATATCAAACATGATCTTATTACTTGTATAGAATCTGAAACTCAACGAAAGTTAGTTTGGAAGTTTCTATAACATAGAGAGTCAGCACTACGGAAGTAGTTTGGTTCTATTATCGTGTTTGAGTTCAAGATGTTGCTTAATCTTATTCCCTAGTCAATTTACCTGTTTGTCAACAACGAAGTGATTTCCCGACACTTTATCTAATTGCCTTTCATCTCTATTTTATTATTGCATTTACTTTTATTTGATATCTTTAGTCATTATAAAATCAAACAAACATCTTTGTATAGCCTTAGCTAGTAATTAATCTTTAGTTATTTGTGTGAGTTTTAGTCCTTATGGATTTGATCCCATATATTACTATGCATTTTATTGTGTATTTGTAGTTAATCTTTCGGGTTAAAACCTGAATGATCAAGTATACTAAAGATAGCATATATTTTGTTGTTGCCATCAGGAGTGCAATTATCCACACTCATATTTATTTATATATATATAATTTGTTAGGTTGACTTATTTTATTAAGAATTACACACAAGGCTAGCAAAAAATAAATCATGGATCATGTTCAAGGTTTTAGATATAAATCCTATATATATATATATATGTGATATTTAAAATAAGTGTCCATAGCTCCTAAAAAGCACTTGTGAGCATTTTCTTTTACTCTAAGACTGTAACTGCGATTAACAGATAATAATACATTATGGATGAAGATTCAGATAATGAATGTGAAACTGAGGTAAAACTGGTGGGCTTTAAAATAGTAAAAACATCTCGGTTGAATAATTTTAGTATTAAACAAATACAATATTAAAGTTTATATTATAATAACACAGTTATTTAATATATTTTTTAAAAATTGAGTCGATCACAAAAAGAAACATGTAGAAAATATCTCTTCTCACATTTTCATTAGAAAAATGTATTAAAAACACATTTCTTATCATTTTCTTTCTCTTTTTATAATTTTAATAAGTAAAACTAAAATATATTAGTTAAAATATTATAATAATACTGTCATTCTGGAATTGCATTCCTTTAAATTTCTAAGTTGTTAGTCGTCACTACATCTTCTTTTTTTGAGAAACAAACCACAAAAATTATATTAGAAGATCATGCCCAGATAGAGATCATATACAAAGAGTAAATTTGGCTAAATAGTTTGTAGGTCCATTATGTTCATTTGGAACAAAGAAACAAAATAGAAAGAAAGAGATGACGATAGAGATTCGATGTCTGATAGAATTCCGTGGAGATTCTTTGGTTTTGCGATCGAACCGATAGCTCTGACGACCCTAAGGGAGTCTGATCGGATCCCGACTTTAATGAAGTCAAGATGAATGGCGTGAGAGAGAGCCGCACAAACCACCAGACCCTCCGCTTGAAGAGCTGAATGAACGTGTGATTACGCTTGGGAGCCTTGCTGTAGAGGAGTTTCTGGTGATGAAAAGATCCATCCGAGACCTAATTCCATGGTAGTTGGTTCCAAGCCATGTCATCTCTACATCTATAACGTGAATTCGAGTCGAGGTAAACCCAAACCATCATCCCTTCGGGACATCCGATAAAATTGGAACAATACATAAAATTGGAACAATACAGAAAAAATTAGTATAGTCTCTGCACAAGGATAATATGCATAAATCAGAAATTGTCCCAAATTTAAAAACAATTTCAAAGAAAAAAAACCATCATTTTCTTTCAATTCGACTTTTTATGTTTGCAAGTACTATAATGCAAATAATAATATTAGTAAAATTCAATTAGTATTATTCAATATGTGAAATGAAATGGGCCCAACGAATTTCCCTTTCTAGTTATTAGGAAATGGTTGGAAAAAAAATTGTTAGGAAATGATTTGTTCCATCAAGATAAACAAAAACAAAAAAAAAAAGAGTTAGAAGGTCTGAAAACCCGGTGGAGGGACCGGACCAAACACTGAACACTCCATCAAGTCAATTTTACAATCTAAGGTCCACAATATTTCATTTTCTCCGTCACATGTTTGACATTTTTGTCCCAAAAGGTCCCATTTATTTCCATAAATATCACATATATTTCATTTATTAATTCATTTAATTTGTATAACTTCTAAAATTTGATATTTTCTATTACTGAAATCAACAATTTCTATTTTAATGTTTTAAAATCAGTATTATTTTTATATTCCTACACAAACTAAGTATTGTTAAACTTTCATTATACCTCTAAAACTGACAAATCATATTTGCTATATTTGTATTTTTATTACTTTGGACTAAGAGGTCAATATACCAAAATTTATATGTAAAATCTAAAAGAACAACTCTGAAACTGAAGATAATGTTAACATGATAATATGAAATGTATAGACTATGTGGACTACTCATCAACTTGAATTCAGCCATGTATAAACTTGTTTTAGTGAACTGGAATTCAACACAACTCGACCTTAAAAGGGTATGGTTATATGATTCTTCCACAGGTCATTCTATTTATATCTGCGTGTAAAAACATTACACAGATGATTAGATAGTTAAATGTACTGTTTCGTTTAATTGTTACTGACGTACAAGAACAAGGCCCTCTCTATCAATGTTATCAAGAAAGAAGAAAACAAGCTTTCCAGCAGTCATATTATAATATACGTCTACACTCAAAACGCAGCAACCATTTTTTAATTGCATTAAGAAAACGCTCGGTGAGCGGTTTGAGCCTCCTCGCCACAGCCACCACCACTGCTGCTCCAACCACGGTTATTGCGGCCACGGAAAAAAAAAAAAGTAACCTCCTATTCACTTGAGAGAGCAAAAAGAAAAACAAAAAGAGAAAGAAAAAAATCTACAAGTTGAAAATCATGGCTTCCTGACGGGTTTGTTAGCCACGATGAACCATTCTTGAGAAGTAGTTGAAGTCATGGTGTTGGATTCTTAGCTGTTTCAGCCAAGAATCAGCAACACTAAGAAGAGACAGAACTCGCTCTTGATCTTGGCCTTGATCATCTTCCGAGAGCCAAACATTGCCTTGCATCTTGTAAGTGGCTAACCCGAAAGGACGCAAAGTTACACCTTGTCCTTCCTTCCGTGTTCTCTCAATTTCCCCACCATTTTCTTCTGGCTCCATATCTGTATATCAAGACCATAACAGTTACATATAAAACACAGAAAGATTTGAACCTGAGAGGCTTGATAATATTAGTAGTAGTACCTTGAAAAGAAGATGAAAGAGTGTGATAAGTGAGGAAAGAAGTAGACAAATCTTTGATGGTTCTTCCCATTGGTATATGGTAAATAGGGTACCACGCTACAGCCATCCAACTAGCCGGTGAAAGATCTACGCTTCTCAGTGACATCAATCCAGGGTACCTTTGAGCCAATTCATTGATCTGAAACCAAAAACAACATGTGTGTCATATTCAAGTCTTAAGTGTTGAATGATGAGATCATTAGCAGCTTTGAGTTTTTACCTTATCCATGAGAGGAACACGAGCATAAGGAGCTGATCTCTCAAAGTGTTGAAGATAAAGATAGCCCAACCGATCATTAGGATGCAAAATAGCGTCATGCTCAAGTCCTTCATCAGAAGCAGCACTTCTTGATAGTTTATCACTCTCACTCTCTTCACTATATGAATCACTAAACGAGCTTTCTCCATCTTCAGACTCTTCCCTGATTACAACCACAAACAACATAAGGAACATAGTATTTGAAAGACACCAAAAGGGTTCGTTATCTATGTGTTACCTTAAGCGGATCAAGGAAGAGCGAGAGGTAAAGATCTGGATAGCAGAGAGATAAGGAACATAGTATTGAACAAGAGATTCTCCATTAGTGAGACGAATGGGAACACCAGCTCCATAAGCACTCCACTCATCGTAACAATCCCATAGATCACTCAATCTGAAATACTCAACGTTTTCTCTCTCTGGTTGATGCCAAATCTTATTCAAACTCCTAATCTCCGTCTGCAAAAAAATAGTCTATGTAAGTATTGCATCATAATTGCCATTAAAGAGAAGAGAGAAGCGTAAAGAACGTTTCAGACCTTGGGGAGACATTGTGGTGGCACCACAGGTGTTGTGCAATGAAGGAACCGGTCAAGGTTCGATTTTTTCATTGACCCTTTTCCAAACACCATGATTCCTTTCTAGCGAAAGAGAGAGAAGAGGGTTTCTTGATCCTTGTCTGAAATGTCTCAGAAACAGAGTAGAACGATAGAGAAACAGAGAAGAAGGACAAAGAAACAGAGAGGAAGAGAGAGAGAGAGAGTTTAAGGGGGAGACACGCAAGCGAGTGTCTGAGCTTTGACGTTAGGACAGCTGAATTTAAGGGAAACGGAAGTTATGGACAATTATATTTTTATTATTCTTTAAAAGAAATGGACAAAGAAAAAACGAAATCAACTCAGTTACTTGCAGAAGAAAGAAAAGTCTTTTTAAATTTAATTTTTTTCTGTGGTGAGAGCTGATTTTCCGGTTGTTTGTTTTGTTTCTATGATCGAAAAATAACGAAACGAGAAAACAATGTAAAATGCCACACACACACAAGTCGGTGATAACAAACCTTCCAATCGAGAATCAAAGCGAGAAAACGAGAGAAAATATACGAAAGAGACGAGAAAAATGCAGACTTCACAAGAAAATAAAAGACTCAAGTTATCAAACAATTTTTCTCCTTTGTGTTTAATGATGAGAACAATTTTCCCGGAAAAATCTTGAAACAAGGAAAAACCAGTGGTTATCGGGGTACGAAACAGGGATGGTGTGTTCTGTTTATATAAGATGAGAAATAGAAACGATTCTCTTCAAGATATTATTTTCTTTTAATTGATCAAAATTTTATCTTCTTTTTTAATTTTAGAAAATGAATAGTACAAAAATAATTAAAATAAATAAAAATTAGTAAAGAAAAAATCTGAGAATGTTAAGAAGTAAAGGGTACAGCTAATCAAAGATTATCTCAAAGTTTGACGATTTTAATTTACAAAAAAAGGTTTGACGATTTTCCTCGTCCACATCTAATGAGATCCTCACGCGGTTTGTTATTTTATTTCCAGAACAACTCTTTGATGTTCGATTAGTAGATTATAGAAAAAAAACCTAATAAATGGTTAATTATACTCTCTCCGTTCCTAAAAGATCCATGTTCTGGAAAAATATTTTGTTTCAAAAGATGTATATTCTATGTTTTCTATGAGAAAATTACAAGTTTCAAAAAATTTAAATTAATTTTATTAGATTACTATTGGCTAAAAATTGTTAAAAATTAAAAATTGTTAAAAACGATAGTGATTTAATGTATTTTTTAATATATGTGAAAACACTAGAAAGACTATCTTTTAGGAACAGAATGAGAACTTAACAACTTTCTACATAGAAAAAAGTATATTAGGCTGCCTAACATTTTACCCAAAGTTTTTCTAATACTATGTTCTAATTATGCCATATATTTTGATTTGACTATTATTATACCATGCCGTCCAGGAAAAATACAAAGAAAATATGCACTATGTATACTCTAAAAATACATGGACATATGTATTTGTTTTTATATTTGGTTGATATATTACTTTAAATCCACCAGTTTATATTTATATCTTACAGTACACTTGAATTGATTCCAATTAAGAAAATTCCATAAAACTAAAAGAAAATCTATATTGAAAGAGGTAACATGCCTACATGTAAGACTGTGAGTTGCTGCTAGCTACAATAATGGCTACTAAGATCGGTGAACTCTTCGGTTGTCTACTATCACAAAAATATATTGTATGTTTATTTTCAAACAAATAATTATACTACTTTGTTTTACCATTTATACAACATAAATTATATTTTGTAGATAATTATTGCTAAAAATATTGTTTTTAATGATGAATTCTTTATAAGACGATTCATTACCCTTTGATTCTTATCGCCGGTAGTAGTTGCTTACTTGCCTTCATGTATTCATCATGATTCAGTCGGTAAAATACCACTAATTAATAAATTTTAGTATGAAAGACGAGTTTTGTTTTAACTTTCGAACTAAATTTTAACCCACAAATCCGTGCGGATATTTTTCATTTTATAAATATATTCGATCGTATTATAAATATTTTAAATATATATTTTATATTTTAATATTATATATTGTGTAATTCTATAATATTATTTTTATATTTCTTAATTGGCGTTATTAATATAGAGTAATTTTTAATACATTTTAATTTGTTATTAATTTTTATTACTTACTAATATATTATCAAGTTAGGTATAATAAAGAACAAATGTGAAATAATCAAACTGATAACCTCCTTTAAAATATTGTTTTTTAATTTATACATTTTGCTATGTAAAATATTTTAAAATATATTTATTTATATTAAAAAAATAAATATATTTAAGATAATTTATGTTTACATTTCTTATGTTAAAAATATACTTTAACATCTATTATTTTTGTATTTTACGAGATTTATTATTTTGTTTAAATAATGTAGCCCTATTACTTTACATAGTACTTCCTCCGTTTTATTTTAATTTTCATTTTAAGGTTGTGCACACAGATTAAGAAATCATTAATTTTTACATAATGTTTAAATAAAAACACAATTATCTATACAACTAACCACATTTTAACCAAAGAAAAATATGAAAATAGATAAAACTAATAATTTATGCATTAAAATTATAAAACAACACTTATTTTGAAACTAATTTTTTTTTAAATAAGTGTCCTTTTAGAGAATCTATCTAATATTCTATCTTCTTATTTTAGTAAATTTTATTGATATAAGATATTTTTGGATGTTATGATATTAAATTTTGTTTTTATTTTTATATAATATTTTAAAAATATTAAATTGCTTTATTTTTTTACAACATGTATAGTTTCTTTTTCGTGGTCCTTTCAAAAAGTTTTTCTTTATTACTTATGATTAATATTTTCAAATTTTTAATATTATTATTTTGAGTTTGAATATTTATTTTTTAAATTTTATATTTTTTCATAAAATTTTTTTAAAAAATTACATTTTTTTTTTGATTTTGGAAGATTACAGGAATTTTGAATTATTTTTGTTACTACATCAGGACATTATTTTATAAAAAATATTTGAATCTTTGGTAATATTTTGTAAATTTTTGTCAACAGGTTTTGTTATAATTAAAATAAAAAATAAATTTAAAATTAAAATTTGATTAGTCATTAATACTTTAAATGAATTACTAAAATTTCATAGTTTTTTAATAACAGATTTTTAAAATAGTATATGAACTCAAAGTTATTATATACTATTATGTTTTTGTATATAAGCATTTTAAACAATAAATTGTTGAGATTTTCAAAATAAATAAAGAAGATAGTATATGGTAGTAGGTATAAAATTTAACATATATTAATAAATATATTTTTGTATAAAAATATTTATAGTTTACGAATTTTAATCCATTTTAAGGATGAGTGATAATTTATTTAAATAAACCGTTTAAAAATAAAATTTGTTAATTTACCAATTTAATATAATTTGTCATATTTAATTCATATAAGACTTCAATTTTATATAATACATAATATAATAATTTAATTTATAAAAAATATAATTTTTAATTGTTTTATAATAAAGTTTTAGCTAAAATTAATTTATAACAATATTATATTATTACGAAATTAATTAGTATGTTATTTTATAAAATTAGTAAAAAGTTTAATAAAACATTTTTTAGATTTTTTTTAACAGATTTTGTTATAATTAAAAAAGTAAAATTCAAATTTATATTTGGTTTACTATTAATTTAAATAAACAAATATGTCATATTAACTAATTTCTTAAGTGGTCTTCGTATGACTTATTAATAACAGATAAAAATAAGATCCTAAATTAATAGATTAGATTTTTTAAAGTCGATATCATATTTTAGCACTTTTGAAATTATATGACTGAAGTTTATATAATGACATTATTGTATTCATCATGGCATGTATCTCTAAATCTTACACATAATCAACCAACTTAGAACCAAACCAAATAACATAAATACAAAGAGAAACCAAACATATACATGTTCGACGTCTGATGATATGATGTTGATAAGAGAAAAGTATAAATCGAGAACAAAGTTTAATCTATATAGTATAAGAAGTCCAAGTGAGAATTATTGTATTGCTAGTATAAGTGTATATATACAATCCGTCTACCTTAATTTTAATACAACATAATTGAATCGAACATTTGGTTTACTTATAATAGAGTAAATTGTTGGTTTAATGTAAGTTGTCTGGCTTAAATTTAATTGTAGCGTGTAATATAACTAATTGTAACTAACTCGATATGGTCCATAAATTATGTAACATACTAAAAAATTTGAAACATTTCAAAATTTAAATGACAATTTTAATAGTAGATAAATTAGGACACTATTTTAATAGAGTAGATTGTTGATTTTTGTTGGGGTCAAAATATGTTACGACAGAATCAATGACCAAAACTCTCCGTAAAGTTCAAAATAGGTTTATAAAGATACGAGAAAGTGTCGAGGGGAATTCTAAATACTCTTCGAACAAAAGAGATCCGTAAACTTAACAATCGTCATAATGGAAATCACCGGCAAATCGAATAAACAACACCACGGTTGTCCGACTAGCCAACTTAGCAAGATCGGCTGCAACATCCAATAAGTCATGTTAAATATTTTTTTGTGATATAAATATCACTTTTTAGATTTAAAGTATTAGTGAAAAAAGTTTAAAATTTAAAATATCAATGGATACAACTTTCAGAATTTTTTATGCAATTTTTCTTTTATAGATTAGTTTATAACTAAAAGTCGCGATATTTCCAAGTTAATAAAAAAAAAACTAATTGTGAGGTTGTAGACAAAACAAAATATTGAATATATTAGTAATTGTTATTACTGTATATATTAATATATAGATTAACTTATATTGTAATTATACAAAACAAAAAAATTGACGAGAGATTCATCAAACGATGTGCTCTTATGTTTAGATTCTATTTATTTAAATATCACATATATTGGTGGTTTTGGTGCAATTTGGTTTTATTTTTGAATTATGGGGTGGGTATATTGAATCTGAAATTTTAAATAATTTGATTTTTAATGAATCTTTAAATGATTGTAAGTGGATTTGAAAATTTGATGTGATTTTTGTTAAATAACTCTAGAAACTCATTTAAAACTATGAGTTTTGAATTTTTATTTTTATAACTAACAAATTCTTCTTAAACACTCTTGAAACACTTAAAATGCTATAATTAACACTTGATAAATTAATAATCTCTATAAATTAATAAATTTTGTCGGTCTCAACTTGAACCGGTTCAAAATTTGACACAAATCAATAAAATAATAAGATAATAACTTTTTAGAAAATTCTATGTAAATATATGGTCCCAATAGAATTATAAATTAATAATTATAAGTATACATATTTTGTATAAATAAGAACATATCATAATATTTTTTTTTATATTCACAATGAAATTCTCTTTATATTTTCTTAACACTTATTATATTTTTGATGAAATTTGGTAATATTATATCTAAAAACACATTTAGATTATATGAAATATATATTATATACATTAAATAATATAATAAAAATGATATAAATGTAAATGTTTTAAAAATAATAATTAGTGTTTAAACACTAAAATCATTCATTTTCTTATTTTAGAAAAACATATTTTAAAATAAAAATCTAAATAAGGAAACTTATGTAAATTAATATCTCTATAAATTTATAAAATTTCCAAGTCCCAACATTATTAATTTATAGAGGTTTTACTGTATTATGTTTTAAAAGTATTTATTATTATGTTAACTTCTAAAGTTATATAGCACAAATATTCATAAGGACAATGTGGTTAAATTTATATTTATAAGTGTAAATATAGGTTCTATATGCAATATTTCAAAAATCATAAACTTAGGAGTTTCATTTGGTTTATTTTAGAAATATTAATTATTATGTTAGTTTCTATAGTTAGGTAGCACATACCGTAGAACTTCTATAAATTTAGTACTCGATAAATTATTAATCTCTATAAACTAATAAAAATTTTCGGTCCTAACTTGGGTTAGTTCAAAATTTGCCACATATCGATAAAATAATAAGATAAATTTTTTTTTAGAAAATTCTATATAAAGATATGATCCCATTAAATTATAAATTAATAATTTATATGTATACATATTTTATATAAGTTAGAACCTATAATTATTTGTTTGTTTATATTCACAATGGATTATCGTTATATTTTCTTACCATTTAATATTTGATGAAATTTAGTAGTATTATATCTAAAATCACATTTAAATTCTATGCAATATATATTATATACACAAAATAATATAATAAACTTAATATAAACGTCATTTTTTTATAAATATCTATACACTATAAAATCAAATACTTTTCCTTATCTTAAAATAAATATATCTTAAAATAAGAAATTTAAATAAGGAAATTTTTAGAAATTAATATCTCTATAACTGATAAAATTTCAAAATCCAAACATTACTATTTTCTAAAGGTTTTATTGTACATTCCAACGGATAATGTGGTTAAATTTATATTTATAACTGTAGATATAGTAGATATATAGAGTTCTATATGAAATATTTTAAAAATCATAAACCTAAGAGTTTCATTCGATGTATTATAGTAATGACCCTTAATATGATTTGAAATCTTATTAATTACTGATTACTTGGAGTAGTTTCCAAATTCTCTTCCAATACATCAATTTATGAATAAAAAGTTAGTAGATACTAGAATAATTCCTAATTTTAAGCATTTTAATTATTATAGTTAATACTGCTGTGTCTTATTGTTGACGTCTATTCATGTGTGATATTTTTAAAAATGGACCTTCCTTAGAAAATCTTATTTCATTTATTTCTTATTAGCATATTGACATTATTAAGATATCACATCTTATTTAATCAACACTATAACAACTTCTCCTATAAAATTGTTTTAATTTTGTTTCTAACTATATAAATTCTGTTGAAAAAAGAATCTAACAAAATATTATAAAAAAATTTAAAAAATTTTATATAATAATGCATTAATTAATTTCGTAATTATTAGTCTAAATTATTTGAATATAATAATGTGATTATTTATGAAAAAATTCTATATACTAAAACTATAGATGCTAAATTATATATTTTAAACATAAGCATGAAATATAAATGATCCTAAACAAATATCTATTCTATTGTATAACTAAATAAAATTTAAAAATATTTTGCTTGCAAACTGTAGAGAAATGTATAAAACGTATAGAAATATTTTGAAGGGGGTTACCTATTTGATTATTTCAAATTATTAATTTATTGTACCTACTTTGAAATTATATTATTATGTAATAACAATTTATGAGAAGTTAAAATGTATAAACAATCTGTATGTATTAATAATTTCAAATAAATAAAACAATAAAATTATAGAATTACATTATATATAGCATTAAAATGCAACACATATATTTAAAATGTTTAAGATAATATCAAAGTATACATTTATAATACAGGATAAAAAAGTATTCAACAATAAAAAAAGAATTAAAGTCTTTGTTATATTGAGAAACGTACATATGTTCTTTTTCTCCAAAAATATATGTTTTATGTCTTTTGATTACAAGATTATAGAATTACTAATTATTAATGATCCATTTGATATTGACATACTATACTATCCTATTTATAAGATGCATGTTGTTTCAATAGAAGATTTCTATATTATGTAAAGTCCAATTTAAATTTATATATGTTTGAATTACGTTACATAAAAACTTATGTTCTAATAATATAACTTCACATTTAACATATTAAAAACAAAAACCAAATATATTTAATATTCAATCATTTATTTTATAATTTGTATAAATATCTAATACTAAATACTTAAAGATTGGTATATATGAATATTTTAAATTTATCATAAAATTCAAAAAAAATTACTAAAAAATTATTTTCTTACAAATACTTATAACTTAAACTGAAATTAGATCTATTTATTAGATTTAATAATAGAGAAGGAAATATAAATAATTTTCAAATTTTTGGAAATTTTGTCAAATAATTAAATACAAATCCAACAAAAAATATATATATAATAAGAACTAACAAATACATGTGAGTTTGAAATAATTAATCAAATAAAACAACAAACTATAAAATTTAGATGTTTAAAAATAATATAAATAAAATGAAATAAACACCCGCACGGTCGTGCGGGTCAAGCTCTAGTTATAGTTAATACTGCTGTGTCTTATTGTTGACCGTATAATGAGTACGTATCCATACTTCCATTAATTTAGGCATATTACTTTAAAAATAACTTACTTACCTTTCTCATTTCTGTAAGAAAAACTAGAAAGATTATACAGAGGTAAACAAAAAATAAATTTAATAAAAATGTTTTCTATAACACAAAATTTTTGTTTATAAATTTGAAATTACAATTTCATTCTGTGCACGGTACGGATTACTACTTAATTTATTACTAAAAAGACACTTTTATTGACTTTCTTTACTGCAAATGATTATCATATTTAGTCCCAAAAATCACGTCGGTGGACTAAATAAAGATTATGTTAATCAAATGCCATGTAAATCGTACTCCCAAGTCCCAACCTACAAATATTGTGAACTAGACATTTAGAAAATGAAAACTTAATGAGCCAATTAATAAATCAATTAGATGTCTGGAAATAGTTGGGAAAATTAATCATGCCTAAATAAGTACATATCATATTATTGAGACAAAAAAAGTATGAAGTATCACGTTACTGAACGGTACTACTACGGTAGTCATCACGTGTAAGAAATGTCAATTACGTGTAAATGTACCAACTTGGTTATGAGCTCTATCCCAATCTGAAAAGAAAATAGAAAACGATATCAGTAATATAAATCGGTAGCCAATCATCTTATTTTTAAATTAAATACTGTATATAGTTTTCTTTTGGAATATGTGGTTTTTGGCCTTTTCCCCATGTGGTAACTTTTGTGGTGGCTGAAGTCATTTATTGGAATTTGGGAACTGAAAACGAAGGTGATGGGAGTGATGGTGTAGCGTTTGCTTTTTCTCACGTGGCATAATCCACATCGTAGTAGGCTTGAGGAATGTCGATGAAAGACAAGATAATACCTCAGCTTATCGAGACAAGATTTGGACCTTATTTAAAATATTCTGCGTTCTTTTATTTATTTATCAGCCCAACCAGGCCCGATAATTGCTTTAGGCCGATAAGATTGTCAAGACCTCTTGTGAGAGAACTTAGGTATTATGCTTAGTTTGTCTGCTGACTTGTCTCTTACGGTGTATTGTGATTCTGACTGGTCATCGTGTCCTCTCACTAGGCGTTCTCTGAGTGCTTTTGTGGTAATGCTTGGTGATTCTCCCATCTCTTGGAAGACCAAAAAGCATTAAACAGTGTCTCATTCTTTCGCTGAAGCTGAATATCGGTCCATGGCAGCTGCTCTGTGTGAAGTCAAATGGTTACGAAAGTTGTTAAAGGGATTGGACTTCGAACAACAGTCTACTCGATTCTACTGTGACAGTAAGGCTCCCATTTACATAGCTTCTATAATGCGGTCTTTCATGAGCGTATTAAACACATCGAAAATGACTGTCATACTATTCAGAATGCAGTTTAAGAGGGTTTGATAAAGCTTCATCACATTCGAACTTAAGATCAAGTTTGCTGATATACTTACCAAGGCATTGGAGCGTGCACAAGTTCATACATTATTGTCCAAGTTGGATTATTCATGATCCTCATACTCCAACGTGAAAGGGAATATTACGATAATCATCGTATACTTAAAATTATATTATACTTTGTGATAAATTAAATAGTTAGAGATAATCCTTATCGATTTGTTACACCGACATATGACTTTGTATATAACTCAGCCTTGTTCACGTTAATAAAATCAAGACTTCAAGTTAAGTTCGATATCCAATTCTACATTAGACAATTTAGTGATCACTGTGTGCTGCCTTGGTATGCAATGTGTAACATATAGTTTGAGAATACGATTTAAGGGATATTATTGGCTATATGATATAACGGTGAAAGTGACCCACCACCACATGACATCATTATCACTATATCATATACACATGGCATGATGATGATTGGAATCAGATGATAGACATATTACCATAAGTCAGATTAGGATGGACATGGCTTCTCTTCAGCCACAAATGTAATGGAATCAGATGATGGCGTAAGATCAGAACCATGTCTCAAAAGAAACTTCACAGTTAGATCATCATTAGATCTAGACAATAAGACTTATGGTAATGTGAATACAGAGACTGATGCAGAGGATGACAAAACTGTAGGAGATCAAAACTGGTTGGGAGTAGAAGGTGTTACAGGAGTGAAAGCTCACTAGTTCAGCTTCCAAGAAAAGCCCAAGACATGAGATTAGCTTCTAATGTTATGTCTGAGAACTAACCTTGAAAAACCAACTTCCTTGGTCTTATGAATGAGCAATGTGAGCAACTCAAATCTGTTTTTTTTTTTTTTAATTGGCTTCTGTTATATATTTGATGTAACGCACAACAGTTTTGCTACATTGATTTTCTCTTGGAATCCATGAATCAAATGTATATATACATGTATTAGGTTTCTATCTATATAGGAGAAAAAATGTGCTTCATGTTCTTCATCACCTTATCCGTGCAGTCTAGAAACTTGATGCTACATGCAAGTATTTCCTACTCCTGTCAAGTACAAAGCAGCTTAGTTAAACACTCAGGACAAACATCCAATCGCTCAAGATTGAATTTTAAAGAGACTCTTGAAACAAAAAGAGAAACATTTACAAACCTCAGTACTGGAGTTTGTTTCCCCTATTGTTTGCGCCTCTGCCTTTTCATTTGAGTAACTTCAAGAATACAAAATTGACAACCAGACAACCAATATTAGCAAAAAAAGAAAATTTAACTCATCTTCATGACAATACATGCAACATGTTCAAATAGATTGGAGACAAAAGATTAAAAATATGAAGACTCACGTGGACAGTATAGTGACCCAAATGAGTTCAATACAATCCACCCAAAGAAGCCTTTGATCTACAGGAATCACACCATATGTAACCAAGTGAGCCAATGGCCAAAGCTTCCACCCTGCCTGCATTAAACATTAAAATCAACAGACCAACTAACATTAAGTTTCATATGATTATTCTGAAAGCACAAAAGGCAAGGAGAGGTTATTACAGTGATCATTGGCCAAAACGTTGTCTTGATGTCGCTGAAAACCTTATCTGGGGACTGGAAACGCAATAACCCTAAAACTGTATAGTAGATAGTGTTCCAAATAGCTGACCACACGGTTTGATCAAATGCCACTTTTGCAGGGACAACCCACCAATCTTGAAAAGGAAACAGAGCCTTGTAAACCAAAAGGGTATGTTATTACAACCGATCTTGACAAGAAAAGGTTGTCTTTTTTTTTGTTTTGTTTACCTCACAGAATTGGTAGTAATAATGAGAGAGTGAACCATGGAGGGTGAAACCAACAAGACCTGATCTAAGAACACGAGTTCGATCAAACTCAAACAGAGGTTTCCCTTCGTAACACTGCATCAATCAGTACATAGCCAAAATGATTGTTAAAACATAACTCAAAAAATGAGAATTTATATTTTTAAGTTTTAGTTTTAGTAATATTACTTGTGCAATCCAATCTCCTAGAGAATAAACAACTCCACTGATGGCCATCTTCGCTAAAACAGGGTTTGTTTTGAGGATTTGCTCATAAGCAACCCAGTTGTGTTCAGGTGCGTACCTAAGTATCTCGTACAGAGTCCAACCCTAAAGAAAGAAGAACCGTAACGATATAAACCCATAAAAGGAGAAAGGTTTACAGAAACTGAAAACGCTAAGCTTACTTACATGCCAATAGTCATGATCGATGGAGAGAAGCTTGGTGACTGCAACGGTACCCGCAGCGAGAACTATGGCTGCGTTGATCCCTCGACTCATCAACCGATCGGTATCTCCATCTACTACTTCTCCTTTTGCCTCTTCTTGTGGATCGAAGGTGTCAGTCTTCTTCACATCAATTGCTTCTCTGTCTTCTATGATTGATCTAACGATCAAACTCGTTTGATCTTTAACCAATTGTTTATGATTCTTTAAATAGTTTAGTTTTGGGAATTGAGTATGTATTCTGATCCGTGGAGAGAACCACCTCCCGGAGAAGATGGTGGTGGTGGAGCAACAGAGAGATGCCATGGGGCTTTGCACTTTGCTCAAGAGTCAGTTTCGCTCTTCTTGTTGGTTTTGTCGACTTAAAAGAAAAAAAAAAATAAATAAATAAAGACTTCGGTGACCGACCAAATTCGGTGTTATTACGAGTATTGACCGAACAGTACAGAACCGGAGTATGGAGTTTCGGTAAAAATAAACCGGTCGGTTAGAATTCTTCTAATAAAAACCGGTTTGCAGACTCCTATAAGGAAAGCAAAAATGTAAGGTCCTACCGAGATTTGAACTCGGGTTACTGGATTCAGAGTCCAATGTCCTGACCACTAGACCATAGGACCATTTGCTCTCCGTCTCTGTAACGAAACATCACAATGTTCTCATGTAGGAAGAGAGTGACGTCATCTGACAGTGACAAGCACGTGACACTCGCCAGCAAGAAACAGTAGTGAGAATCCAATTCCAACTAAACCTTTTTTCTCGCGGCTGCTTTTGTCTTTTACCGTTGCCACTTTTCACCGTCCCTTCTATTCTCCATCCACACGCGCGTGTCTTTCAACTTTTGTTCTATACCGGTGGTTAAGACCGGTTAACACTTGATTTAACATTTATCTGGTAACTAACAACCAATTATTCTCTGTTACTGTCCTAGAAACTGACAAGTTTGAAACAAGTCTCTGGTCGGAATTAGAATCTTGAAACAAGTTTGATACAGTTGTACACATAATGGCGTTAAATCATTGATTAATCAGTAGAGTTTTCATTTGATTATTTATTTGACTAATGAAGAAACACTATCATTGGTCAATATTTAACTCATTATTTATTAAAATTAAACCTATGACCAGAAGTGTGAGTTTCCTAGTTGTTTCAGTAACAAACCAAAAAAAAGTTTTCCATTTTTTCCTGGATTGGGTTTAGTAATAAAAGAAAAGAAAAAAAGAGACTTTCCCACTTTTAGTTTAACACACCAACCATTCGTAGATGACGATTCCTCTACTTTTCCAGTAAGTTTCACTTTCTCTTCTCTCTTCTCGAGATTGGTTAACTTCTACCTTCGATTGGTTATGGATCTTGTCGCTTTCTTGATGTTTCTTTGATGTTCTGCTTGTTTACAGATCCCTAGACATCGTCTTTTTCGATTAATGTTTGGTTTACTTTACTTCTGACTTGGACAATGAAGAGATCTAAGCTCTACTGTCTTCTTCTTCTTCCTCTGCTCTTGTCTCTGCTGATTTGGTCTCCTTCCTTCTCCTTTGCTGCTACAAACCCTAATGATGGTAAACACTAGATTTACTTTTCTTTTGGTCTTATTAGATTTGAATTATAATTCTCCCTAGTGAGATCTGTTGTATATATTCCTTGAGAAATAATCAGCATTGTTGTAATTTTGAATCAGTTGCTGCGGTGAACGGCTTATTCGCTGCACTTGGCTCACCTATCCTTCCTGGTTGGATTGCTGCTGCTGGAGACCCATGTGGTGAATCTTGGCAAGGCATTCTCTGCAATGGCTCAGATATAATAAGCATGTAAGAAGTTCTTTTCATAGACTTAACATTCCCTTTTGTTTGATTTCTTTCTGTTAATTCTGTTTTTTTAATTTTTTTGAATGGTTACAGAACTCTGAATGACGCCAATTTGGGAGGAGAGCTTGGTGAAAACAACTTATTTAGGTTCACATCTATCAGGACAATGTAAGCATATTTTTAGACACAACATGTTACATTTCTGACAAACAATTTTGGATATATATATAAATCTCTTATGTTTACTTTGCTCTCTCTTTCTCCAGAGACTTCAGCAACAATCAAATTGGAGGAATCATACCATCTAGTTTGCCTGTTACATTGCAGCAATTGTATATATACAACATGTTATACCAAATTCTGTGTATATAGTTTGTTGATTCTTTTGTAACAGTTTGTATGGTGCTGTTCTTGACATTTTGGCAGTTCTCTTTCATCTAATCAGTTCACTGGAACCATCCCTGAATCTATAGGAACACTAAGTTCTCTGAGTGGCATGTAAGTTCTTGTTACTTCCCAACATCTGTCTTACTATTCTTCTGAAAATCATACTATTCTTTTCAGGTCTTTGAATAATAATAATCTCACAGGAGAGCTACCTGATGTGTTTCAAAACCTTGTTAGCCTGATTAATCTGTATGCTATTTTTTTTGTATATATGGTTTTGTGAACAGTTACTGTTTCTATGGGTTGTAGTAGTAATCTGATATCTTTGTGCAGAGATTTATCAGCTAACAATCTAAGCGGCATGTTACCTCCTTCAATGGAGAGTTTGTTATCTCTTACAACATTGTAAGTTTTGGTCTTTTTGTTTTTATGGGGTTTCATTCTTCACCAAAGCTGATATACCTGAGTTTCTCAGACATGTTCAGAACAATCAGCTCTCGGGAACTCTAGACGTTCTTCAAGACCTTCCTCTTAATGACTTGTAAGGTTTCTTTCTCTCACAACAAATGCTCCAAAAGCAGTGATAATCCTTTCAGAAGGCTTTGTTGTTTAATGTGTCTCTTGTAAAACAGGAACGTAGAGTATAACCTCTTCTCTGGAGCCATACCGGTGAAACTACTAAACATTCAGACATTCCTGTAAGTGTTCTCTAAACATTCATGTTTTTTTATTTTTTCTGGTTCAGTTGCTTTTGTTTATGCTTAAACTTGGTGATGCAGAAAGGAAGGGAACATGTTCAATTCAACCACAGTTGTTGCACCATCATTGTCTCCGTCTATATCTCCAACAAATCCTTCTCCTGGGCGACCGTTTCTTAGAGTTCCACCACCTCCTCCTGCAACTGTGAGGAACCGAGGGAAAGCTTCTGATGCACCTTCTGCTTCAGAGGGATCTAGCTCTTCACATACTAAACGGATAGTCCTCATAGCATTCGGTGGAGTCCTCCTCTTCATAATCCTAGTCCTGGCAATACTCTTGCTCTTACCAAAATGTGCAAGACGAAGAAGAGAACGTTCTAGTGGAGTCTCTAAACGGCATCAAGTTGGTGCTGACAGAGGAAACAGAGAGAATGCTTTGGAGAACATTCCTCCTGTACTGCCACCACCTGTTAGATCTGAGAAAGGTAAAAGATCTGAGATTATGCAATGTTTTGGCCAATAACTTTCCTAATGCCATTGTGCTTATGAAACAGTACCCTTCACAAAAGCTGGACAAGAACCAAAGGTTTTTCATGACCTTGAGCGGTTGCAAAGACCTGTGCCGCCACCGCCTATAACGCGTCAAGAGAGTCAAGATATTGACTTTTCAATGTTGATGCCTCCACCACCTCCTCCTCCACCGCCACCACCACCTCCTCCTTTGGCTGAGAAGATCACCGTTATGCCCATCAAGTCTCCGGAGAGACCCTCTAAGAAGCCTTCCCCTAAAACACGCTTACCTGTAACTTCTGTGAAGCACTATTCTATCGCATCTCTTCAACAATACACAGAAAGCTTCTCTCAGGAGAATCTCCTTGGCTCTGGCATGCTTGGGAGTGTTTACAGGGCTCGTCTTCCCAATGGAAAGGTATAGTGAAACTAATTCAAACATTTGTTTTGGTTCTGAATCTTTAACATTTTGTCATTACAGCTGTTAGCTGTCAAGAAGTTGGACAAGAGGGCTTCTGAACAACAACATGATAATGAGTTCATCGAACTAGTGAACGATATAGATATGATACGCCATGCCAACATCGTCGAACTTGTTGGTTACTGTGCTGAGCATGATCAAAGACTATTGATCTACGAGTATTGCAGTAACGGTACGTTACAGGATGGTTTGCATTCAGACGATGAGTTCAAGAAGAAACTCTCGTGGAATACACGTGTCAGAATGGCACTTGGAGCTGCTAGAGCCCTTGAGTAAGTTTCTTGTTTTTTTTTTACTTCAAAAATGTAAAAGTAAGTTCCTGACTTTTGTTAATAATGTTGTTAAGGTACTTGCATGAGGTGTGTGAGCCACCGATCATACACAGAAGCTTCAAATCAGCCAATGTCCTATTAGACGATGATCTGAGTGTTCTTGTCTCAGATTGTGGTTTGGCACCATTAATATCATCAGGCTCTGTGAGTCAGGTAAAGTAGTAATACTCAGTGAGCTATGGCTTGACCACTGTAGTTTCTTGAAGAACTAAAACCAACTTTTTATTTGTATGAATCAGTTATCAGGACAATTGCTTGCGGCTTACGGATATGGAGCTCCAGAATTCGACTCAGGAGTCTATACATGGCAGAGTGATGTATACAGTTTTGGTGTTGTTATGTTAGAACTCTTGACTGGTAGAATGTCCTACGACAGGTATGCGCATCACGGTGATTTCTTCACTTAGTTTTTTTTTGGTAAATCTCATAAATAGCATCTTTTTGTTATTTTTTTTTTTGTTTTTATCACAAAAATAGCACTTACAAAGAAAAATCTTCAAAATAGCACTTATTAATCAATAAAAACACTAAAATACCCTACATCCTAAACCCTATACCATGTAAGTTTTTTTGGGTAAATCTCATGTATAGCATCCTTTTAGTTTTTATCACAAAAATAGCAATTAAAAAGAAAAAAAATCTTCAAAAGAGCACTTATTAATCAATAAAAACACTTGATTACCCTGATCCCACCCTTAAATATTAAACCTTGAATTCTAATCACAAAATCGTAAAACCAAATAGATAAATACATTAAATTTCACCTTTTAACGACTACTATTTTGAAGATTTTCTCCCTTGTATGCTTTTGAAGGGTATTTTGTGTTTGTTTCTTTGGGGTATATTTGTATTCATGTGAGTTGATTTTATAGGAACCGGACTAGAGGAGAGCAGTTCTTGGTGAGGTGGGCAATCCCTCAGCTTCATGATATCGATGCGCTGGGCAAAATGGTTGATCCATCTCTTAACAGACAATACCCTGCAAAGTCATTGTCACACTTTGCCGACATTATTTCCCGGTGTGTTCAGGTAAAAAGCACATACTGAAATATGAGAAATTGTGTTTAGATGAGTGTGATTGTGTTTTGCTTGACCAAAAGGTGAATTTCTTTTTCTTTTCTTGTTGACAGTCT